TAAGTCAGCAGTGTGCTGCGCGCCTGCTCCAGCTTGGCTCGGTCAGTTTGATGACAACTCATAAACATCTTCTGTAGCAGTTTTCGTCCAAACAGCCGCTGACCGATGACGCTGGTTCTTGCTGATGGTCGGTCACCCTCGGACCTGAATTATTGATGTACGACAACGAACATTAAAGCAGCCGGCGATTACGCGTACTCCGTTCCTCATTTGCTGTGGGAGGTGCCATTCTTCGGGCACCGTTCGAAGAGCAGCGTCTACTGCGGCAAAACTGCAATAATCGGAAGTTGTGCCGTTGCTGCTGTCCCCGTCTTTGTCCAACGTCGGGACAGTTGCGGATCAAACAAAGCCCGTCAGCCTTACATCTACCGGTAACCGTAACCATATGTTGTTTAGTTGCAACGAAGTGCGTTTCACCCGTTTTTAGTTCCTAGCAACTTCTTCTGCCACCAGGGGCTTTCTACATTGAGACATTAGAACAGGCTGATCGTCTACCAATCAGCTGGGTAGAATCTAAATTGCTTTAACAGGTCATATCAAGATATTCGGTATTTGGTGACTGGACGGTGCTCAACCGTCCTGTGTATCAAAGTTGTACTTAATTTCCGAGTGTTGATGATCTTTACAACGATGCTGCACCAATGTCAACAAAGATCTTCCTGAATAGGGACCCAAGACCGCTGTTGTTCTGTCTATAGATGTAGACTGTGTCATCGAAATAAGACACTTCTGGCTAGAGGCATAGAACGGACATCGGGCATTGAATGCATGGTGCAGAACCCTGTCCCAGTTTAGAGGCCATTTTTCTCTGTCATCGTGATAAGCTGCGCTATAAGCTATCTAGCCCCCCGAAGGTCCAGGGGAGGAGGAGGGCTAGAAGCATCAGCATGGTCCATTAACTTTCTGAAAACAAGAGCGCCACAGGTGACCGTCGGATGACGCAAGTGCAATGGAGTGAGACAGACACTCCAACGGTTGTAAGCTCTCCTTCCTTCCTGGAGATGGAATATTTTATTCGTACATTCGTGAACATACTGAAATGCAGCCCAGACAGCTTATTTACAAACAACGCAACTCTTGGAATGTTGGCTGCAAGACCGAATACCGACGTACCGTTAGGCTTGTACCTCACAAGCCTTGTTTTCTTGA